GAAACCAACTTTTGCAAGAATTAAAAGAACAGAGAAGAAAGTAAAGTACGTTTCCATCGCTCCCATTTGGTGAAGTTACTGCAATTTTTTGGGGGCCAAATGATGCGTCAGCTTCTTTTCCGGAATCACCGCTACGAGTTCCTTTAAAATATTCAAGATTAATTTAACATCATAGATATAATAAAAAGAAAGCTAATGAATTCATGCTTACGAGATGACCCTATATTATAAACCTTGGCATCGGTCCTCTTTACATCTCTGCAAGCATCCATTAATTCCTCAACTATCTCGTTAATACAAATTTCATGTGGTCTAGACGGACATTCAATGACCTTGACCTTGCCATCAAACCATTCCCAGTAGCCATGAACATTAAAAACGTCTCCACGACGTTCGTATTCTTCCAAAGACACTCCTTCAACAAGGGTGTATGGGAGCCTTAATATAATTAATTAAAAAAATTAGTTTGTCTTCAATAGAAAAAATACAGGCATTACTTACTTCGCATGATCCCATTCCGCCTTTGGATGAAGGTTTCCTTGATCCCACCAAAGTTTTCGAAATTTTTTCAGTTCATTGGATTCCTCATCAGGCATTCGGACGAGAGCTTTTGAAACAGCATCAATCTCGTCGTTACTATAATAATATCTGAGAATTAAAACCAATTATAAAAGAGAAACATATATTTATATATTCTACCCTCTCACCTTTGAGTTGTGGTAGTACTTGTCAAACATCTTCTAACCCTATAATACGAATCCGAATCAGTATCATTATACAAAGTTGCCATTTTCGTTGATAATTTTACACAAATGTTCTAAACATATTGGGAAATATTTTATGGACTAGCAAAAAGTACCTCCGAGACCCTATATCAATATAATAATATACTTTTTTAATCATACAATTATAATATTATAATAAATTACCGAAATATGTTTTTTTGAAAAAAAGATCGGCAATCTAAATTTTTCAATTCCCAATTTCCATCTCAAAGTGAGATATTCCTCGAAGGTACATTTTGCTAGTCCATGACCCATATAATTATTTATAAGCTTTTTCAATAAAATGATTGTTTATATTTGAAAAATAATAAAACTAATTATACTATTTTTCTTTAAAATTATACCTATTTCTTTATAATTATTCTTTTTAACTTTTCACTAAAAAGTTTTTATTTAATTTGTGAACTGCATGCCGATCAGTGATTTTTACTATCTAAATGCAAGGGATAATTATCATATATTTTTTAAAAAGTGTGTTAGAATCTGTCACTGTTCTCTACTCAAGATGCAAATAATACATAATTACGTTGCTTTCTAATGGCATTTGAGTTGAAAATTTGCACTTTGGGTTTTATTTCCAATAGTTAGTGGCTTTCTCGTCCCATTGATAAAGCACAATTCGACTGCATTTCAAAATCTTAGTTGTATTGAATGGACGTGAATTTTTTGTTGAGGTAATTCAGTTTGAGTCTGACTTTAGTCCACATCTTAGGTATATTTGCAAATGTGATGGGATTCAAAATAATGTGTGTGAAATACCAACGGTAGCTATTTCTTTAGTATACTAGACTATTTTTAAAATGGAAACAAAAATTTCAGGGCCAAAAATTTAATAAACTAACTATTGCAAATCAGTTTTTATCAGATTTACTATTTTGTGTTTATAAATTTTAACTTGAAATCCTTCGAGTTTGGATTATAAATATAGAATATTCTGATAAAAATGTAACAAGCTTAGCTGGTTTCAGATTTAAGTCAGCTTTTATATATCAATATAAAAAAAACGCTTTATTTTTTTAAGAAATAAAAAAAAATGATTGAACAATAGTTTATGGAAGTAGCATAAATATGAATTTTATTGAAAAAGATTCAAATTTAATTTGATCAAAAATTGGAATATTACAACAATACAATAGAGAACAACTTTTTGAATTAACTCATTAATACACTTTAAACTTAGTATAAACACCTCAAATTCCATCTTATACATTAGATGAATAGCATAATAAAGAAGTAATGACCAAGGTATATAATTAATTATCATTTTGACATCATGTACTGGCAGAGATAAATTGGCATAGTTTTTTATAATTGGTTAAAAAAAGAAATATTATTATAGAATTAGTGATCGGAAATTTAAGCTTAGATTGTAATGTTTAAAGCATGTTAGTTATTTTGAAATTACTCTATATGCTAAAAATCAATCAGAAATACATATCTAAAGAACTTTTATCATTAATTAGAATAGCAGATTAAGGTTAAAATTTAAACTATAAATGCAAATGTTAATAGTAAGTATAAATATAATATTCTTATTAATATAATCATTTACAAGTTAGATTTATTACTCTAACACCTTTATTTAAAAATACTACAAAGATTTTTTGAAATTCTTTTAATAATCCAATAGACGTTAATAAATGTGATATTAATAAACATTAATAGGTATTATTTATAATTGTTAATAATTTTATAAATATAAAGATATTCAAAAAATTTAGGTATTAGTAATTAATTAGCTTAGATTTTAAAATTATAATAATTAACTTTTCTTATTAAATTTTCATTAGGTTTCAAATGATACAATTTGTATAATATGAAAGCATGCTTATATCTATAGTCCTAAAAGATGGTTACTAAAAATTCTATAATTATATATGAAAAATATTAGTAAAGAAAAATAAATAATTACAAATTTTTTTAACAGATAAAGTTAATGTTATAATGAGTTTATATAAAATAGATTTAGTCACAAATGAACTTTGAAACAAATTTCATAAAGAATATCTAGATGAAATGCATCATACAAATTTCTATACTAAATTAAAAGGAAATTAATATATATATCAAAAGGATTTAGGTAAATTATGTTATATTTGTTCACAATATAGTTATAAAATATTTTTAGACTTTACTACATTAATCAAAATAAATAATAGATATTATAATTCAAAAGATAAGCAAATATTATATAATATATAACATATACTATAATTAATATTTATTAATTATAATTATAGAAATAATTATTATTAGAATGTATAAATTAAAATACTTTCTTAAGCATGATTATGAATAGCATTTTTATATTACCTTATAAAGATATTAGTACTTCAAATTATGAGAAAAAGATTTACATAACTATTTTATTATTTAGCTTATCAAATAAAAAAGGTATATTTATATATATAATTAAATACAAATCTATTAAATTTAGACAAAAAAACTGCTTTAATTTTAGTAGATTTAAGATAAAATATTATCTAAATTAGCATAAAAAATAAATAGAATTAGATTGATAAAAAAAGGTTAAGTCTCTTTATTCAATTCTTATATACACTAAATAATTAAACTCAACATCTTGATGTTTAAATATTTAATCACTAGTTTACAGATACATATCAGAATTCATAATTTATAATATTTTTATTTTATATAATAGTAAAAGTATTAGAACTAAAGCTTAAATCTGTAATTATAATATCAGATAATAGTAATTATTATCATAACACTGATTTAATAATGAAAATAAATTATTGGCTAAAATAATATAAAATTAACATAAATAAATAAATTTTTTAGAGACAATAAAGCAAAAATTATTATTAACTTTTATTATATATAAGTAAATTAATAATTTGTTAATATAAACTTTATTTAAACTAATATTTTTATTATTTTTTTCAGATCTTACATGCAATTAATTTATATATTCATTTAAACTTTGATGTAATAGTAAAATAAAATATTGAAACTGTAATTTAAGGAATTAAAAGAATATTTATAGCAAATTGATAGTAAATATAATTAGCTAATTTATTTATATATTAGTATATATTAATCTTTTAAAGATAATAATAATAATATATTATCTAAAAATTCTATTAGTTTGAATGGTAAATCAATAATAAAAAAATTAGCTAGATGTATTAGGATATAAAATATTCTAAGAATAGAAAATTAGTTTTAATACAATTAGATAAATTTTGTAAATAAGATATCAGTAAACTTATTTTATAAATTTTAATATATACTATATTATTATCAAAGTAAGAAATACTAATATCAAATAAATTATGTATATATTAACTAATAATAATATATATTTTTTCTTAAATAATCAATATTTAGTTTTATTTTTTTTTTTAATTAAATATTATTTTAAGTTATCTTATAAAAGAAATCTATAAAGAAATTAAAGAAGTGAGAAATTAGTTTGAATAATAAAGAAAATAAAAAATAATTGATTAACATATTATAAAATAAATTGCTAAAAAATTTAGAAGATATATAGAAGGCAAAAGTAGATATAATAAATATTATACTTATGAATTTTTTTTATTGATAATTTAATTTATTTATTATTATTTATAGATTATGAAAAATATTTAATAGAAAAAATAATCATAATGCTAAAGAAAAATAATTTTAATATATTTCATATTTTGAAATATAAATAACTTATATATATACAATATTAGAAATAATATAAATGAGTTTTCTTTAATCTTAGTTAATATTTAAAACAAATCAAAAGTTTAAAAAAAAAGCATTAAAAAGAGAATAATATTAAAAGTTAAAATGTTATTAGAAGAATATTTTTTAGTAAATAATATAAATTAAAGTAACTAATACATTACATAAATATGTATAATAAACTTATTCAATATACAAAAGAAAGTGAAATTAAGATAAAAGATATACTAAAAATTAATATAATTTAAAATTGAAATAGTTATTATATACAAAAATATAAGTAAAAAGCTATAGCTAAAGGGTTAAAATAACTAAATATTAGGGTTATAAATCTTAAAATTATATTTTTACCTAATAGTTTCTAATCAAAAATATAATTTTGAAGTCTAATAAATTGCTAAAAATATTCAATAAAAAAAAAATAAAATATAAAAAAATTTTCAATTTTATATAAGATTTCTATATATTATATTATTATAAAATGATTTTTTTATATTATTTTAATTATTAAAGAATTGTAATTTAATAATTTTTTCTTATAAATCTATAAAATATTTTTCTATTTAGTACTAATAACTTTCTTTAATTAATATAAAAAATAATTAATTAAAATTTTAATTAAAAAATTATTAAAATTATTTTATTCTAATTATTATATGATATTATTAAAATCATTTTCAGTTATCTTAATATATAGGTTTAAAGAATTGCAATAATTGATCCTAGATATTAAAATTTTTGACTTTAGGATTTTTTCAAGTTTTACAGGTATTCGTTATATTTAGATTAACTTAACATTTTAGAATTTAAAATTATTTAGTTAAATTTATAATAACAAACTCAAAAATAAATTAGTATAGAATATTATAATAAATCTTAGATAAGAAATAATATTAAAAGGAAAATAATTTATATGATTTTAAATTGATTTTTTTATTTATAATATTAAAACTTATATTTGTAAAAAAGTTAATTTACAATTTAAACAAAAAGTTATTATATTTATATAAAATTAATTTGCTATGGCTAACTATTTTATTATGTATAAACTAACTATTTTTGTAAATTTGACTATAATAAAATAATAAAATAAAATAAAATAAAGATATAAATATAAGATAAATTATAATGATAATAAAAATAATAAAAATAATAAAAATAAACAAAAATATTTAAAAATGAAAAGTTATTAATTATTATAAATATAAATAAAATTTGTAATATTAGAAAGATCTAGTAAATTTGATTAATTAGATTATACTTGTTACCCATACTATATGGGTATGAGATAAAGTCCCAATTCCATTCTATTTCAAATTCCATTCCTTAAACTTAAACTTTAACAAATAATATCATCATAATTAATGATTCTAATTTAATGATATTTAGTTTATTAGCTTCATCTTTATAAGCAGATTCAAATAATTATTACTTTATTCTTTTAAGTGAAATATTGATTAAGATATATTTAAAAATATATTATAAATTTAATGGAATTTTGGATTTGAGATTGGGATTTAGGATATGGAATATGAGATTTTAAATATAGTATGGGATTTGGAATGAGATGGGATTCTATAGTATAAGGTATAGATAGCAACTATAAATCAGATAAATTATATAAATTCTTAATATTTTTCTATTTTTATTCTAGTAATTGTTGATAATTATTATTTAATAATTCTTATATAATATATTTTGTATTTATAGTATTAGCTATTTTTAATACTAACAATTCTTCTTTAATTTGAATTTTAAATATTATAGTAAAAAAAAATTTCTTTTTTGAAATTAAGTCTTGAATTTATACTTTAAGATCTTTTAAATTTGAATTACTGTTAACATTTGTAGAAATTGTTTAATTTCAATTTTAGTATATAGCATATAGATCTTATTCCTACTTCTCATTGGTAAGATATTATCAATAATTTAACTTATTTATAATTTACTTCTTCTAAAGTATTTAAGAATTTACCTATATAATACATATAAATTAATATTCCTATATGATATCTTCTAGTAGATATTATTAATTAAAGTGTTAAAAAATTCTTATTTTATTCTAACATTATTTGTACTTTAATAGAAGTAAGTTTTAATATTCATATTATAGCAGTTCTAATTAAATAATATCTCTATAGTAATGTTTATTTTATTTATTAAATTTTCTAAAAACTTTAATGAATCTAATAAAATACTTTTTATTTAACTCTAATTTTTCTAAAAACTAATTGATTCATATAATATCAAAGTATAAAATTTTTATCTTATATTAAATGATATTATTTAACCAGATATTTACTATATGTTGTATTTTATTTATATTTCTTTAGTAATCATTATCTATTTAACTTTTTCTCTAATATCTGAAAATTTTTTATGATTTATCAAATTTAGTTTATAAAATTTTTATGTTCTTGATTAGTGTATTATATTTTTCTGAAAAAAATAATCTCTAAAAATAAGTAATATTTGTTTTATATAGTTTTCAAAAATATTTTTTATTGTAATAATAAAATAAATAAATAATTTAACTTTATAAATATATTATAAATGAATTCAATTATTTATTTTATTATTACAATAAAAAAATATTATAAATTATTAGTATTTATCCAAATTATTTTTGTAAAAATTAATCCATAATGTCAATAATATCATTTTCACTAATAATGATATTATCATCACAATTATCATCAAAATAATTATTATCATGATTATTAATATCATTATTATTATAATTATTAATATCATTATTATTATGATTATTAATATTGTTATTATTATATTTATTAATATCATCATCACTAATATTATCTGAATCTAAATTATTTGAAATATTTATTTTAAATAGTTTATTAATAAAGATATCAAGTGATTAATATTTACTTGTCAATCTACCTAGGATTATTACAAGATAGACTTTATTTATATAAAATCTTTTTTAATTAAATCTTCTAGATGGTTTTTAAAAAAATTGTATATAAGTATTATAAAATTCTCTTATATTTAGAATTAAAAAATTCCTAATAGATCCTAATTGGTCTTGAATAATTTTAAAAAATTATTAATTTTAAAGATTAATTTTTTTTTAAATAATATTTTTATAATAATTTTTTAATCAAAATTATTTATTAAAATAAATTGAAATTTTCTTTAAAATTTAAATTTTTTAAATTAGAATTTAAGTCCTAAGATCAAATTCTGAATTAAATAAATTTCTTATTTTATATATTTTTTTATATTAAATTGATAAATAAATTTATTCATTTTAATTAATAAATAAATAAAATTATTATTAAAAATCTAATTAATAATATATAAATAAAAAAATTTTTTTAAATCTTTAAAGACCAATTAAGATCTATTAAAACTTTACTAACTTTACTTGTATTATATCTTTACTTTTATATCATTAATATAATCTATATATTTATATATTAAACTAATATCTATTAAATTATTATTTTGAAATTAAATGATAAATCTTAAAAGTATTTTTTCCTCACATAGAAATTATTTTTTTAAAAAATATAAATAGGGTTATCTATTATAAGATTTAAAATTAAAAGACTATTAAATAAAAAATAATTAAAAAAAAATTAAAAAAAAAGAAAAAAAATTTTAGGAAAAATGAATAAAGAATTAATAAAATAGTAAAAAATATTAAAAATTGAAAAGAAAAAGCAAAAAATAAATAATACTTATCATATCAAATCAGACTAGTATCTTTTATAATATAATATTAATGATTAAAAGTTATATTATATTATATCATATTATATGATAAAATAGAGAAAATAAAAAAAATAAATTAAATAAAAATTATTCAGAAAATCTAAAATATGCTAAAATTTTCTTTTATATTATTAATTAACTTATATTATTAATTATGTTTATTATTAATCAATTATAGATTAGCAAATTTAGTATAAATAAGATAACTTTAAATTTAGTTAGTGATAAATAATTTTTCAGATAATTATATAGAATTCAAATAGTTTGAAGAATTTAACTTAGATTTTTTATAAATAAAATAAATACTAAAATATATTATATTTAATTATAACAAATTTTTTTTTTTAATAAAAATCCTAATTATTCATTCTAAATTATACACCATCTATTTAAAAATAAAAGTTATTTAAATAATCTTTAGAGATCTTTCTAAGATATTGATTAAGCTAAATCCTTTGTTAATCTTGTATAAATACTAATTTTTAGTTATTAGTATCATAAAATAATAATATTTAATGATATATATAATATGAATATTTCATTTACTAATTTAGAAAGTTATTTTAAATAATATAATTTTTAATTTTAAAGACTAATATATATGATATTTAATTTATATTATTAATTTAGTTATATAAAATATTCTTTTAATATTAAAAAAAATTAGATTAGAAAAGGAAGAAATATATTAAAAAATGTAAAATCAATCAAAATTATTTTTTTTATTTTAATTTATATTAATTATTAATAATATTACTATAATTTTAGTTAAGAAATTTAGTAGTTAAAATTGTGTATTATCTTAAAAATATAAAAACTTAATTGTTAATATATTACTTCAAATATTAGAAGTCTTTAATTAATTTTAGATATTTAAATATGTTAAAATTCAACTTATAATATAAGGGAAAGAACATTATATTATAGTGAAATAAATTTATAAATTATAATTAATTTATTTATATTTTATTTTAACATATTTTTTATTAGTTATTAAATAGTAATAGTATTAATAAATGAAAATTAACAGAATTATTATTATCTAATGATAAATAAAATAAAATTTAAGAAAATTAAAAATTTATTAAAAATATGATAAATAATTATTTATTTAAAGTATATTTAATTATTTTCAAAATAAGTGAAACAAGTAACTAATACTTAACTAAATAATTTTAATTTATAATTATTTATTAATGCTGCTTAATCAAATAAAATTATTAATGCTGCTAATAATATAAAAACTAAATTAAAGCAAGATTATTCAATATTTGATAGTTAGTTTATGTAATTTTAATAATTATGTATAAATTTATTTAATTTATTTTATTATAAAATATTAATATTAATAATTTTATTTTATTTATTAAATAGTTATAGATCTAAGATTTAAATTAAATTATTATATAGATAATGAATTTGTATCTAAATACATCAAAATATATAAATAACAAATTAAAAATTTTGTGAAATGATAAATATATTTAAAATTTTAAGAAAGTAATAATCAATTCATTAATTCAAATTAAGTATATTAATAACATATATATTTAAAAAGAAAACTAGTAAAAGTGATGAATTAGATATATATTAAAATAATACATTAATTCTTAATGCTAAAGTCTTAATATTTTGAAAGGTAAAATTTAAAGTTATATAGTAGTATTATATTTAATTATATAATAAATCAGGTTAATTTTTTAATTTAATTTATAGAAGGCTAAAGATTATATAATAATTTCTAATTTGTCATTTAAATTAATTCTTAAACATAAAAATTATTTTTGGATTTAAATATATAATAACTTTGTAATGAAAGGTAAAAATATTAGAAAATATGATTTTTTTAGATTAGTATTAACTTATTTTTTTTTGTTTTTGTTTTTCTTAGCATTTTCTTTTCTTTTTATTATAAAGTAATCTAAACATTATATTTAATATATAAACTAAATTTAATTTTTATAGCAGTTTTTATAAAGGTTTCATATAATTATATAATATTTTTATATTTGATTTTAATAATATAATCAATAGCAATTATAAATATATCATAATTATAAAATGGAAATTTTATAATATAGTAGCTCACAGCTTCTCTAATTTAGATAACTACAAGTGCAAAATACAACTGTATGTTGGGTTCTCATATAATGGATATAATGTTGTTCACTTATTAGCTCTCACTTAGGACTAAACAACTCATCTCGCATAAAAGAATCTTCACTCTATTTGAACTATAAACAATAAATATCAAAAATTTATTTAAATTTATAAATTTATGGTTAAAATATTTAAATGTATAAAATACAAAAATGAAATATAAAGGATTGTGAAATTAATAAATAAAAGTTGGTTTCCCGCATCTAAAATAAATACTCAAGTTATTTATACCTTGTTATCGTTATAGATATTTATACCCAATTTTTGTAAAATTTCGATGGCTTTAGGTTGATTTGTTAAAGCAGCTAATCTTAAATATTTTTTACCTAAGTCAATATTCCTTTGTATACCAAGTTTACCATTTAAATATAAGTCACCAAGGTTAAATTGAGCAGTAGAATTATTATTATCAGCAGCTTTAGTTAAATATTCGATAAAAAGTTTTCTATCAAATTTAGAGCCTTGATTACCAACTAAACTAAAAGCATAACGCAATTGGGCATCAGCCAATCCATCATCGGCAGCATCTTTAAATAACTTGGAAGCCTGTTTACGATCCCTTTCACCCGCATAACCTTCCCATAAATAATACCCTTTCCAATATTTTGCCCTTGTATTTCCCAAGTTTGCATGTTCACAAAATATCTCCCACGCCTTTTTGGTTTCCTTCTTTTTATGTGCTGAAATGCCCTCTTCTAACGAACGAATTTCTGGTAATGATTCTAATGAATCGAGACAAAATTCATCCCCAAAGTCTGGTAGGTCCTCTTCTTTACTATCACTTACCGATACTTGATGTAATGTCCCATCAAGATCTATTGATTTATCTGGTTTAAGAGTTGGTGAAGTATTCCTAGGATCATAATATTTATGAGCCAACCTATTTAATTCCAGAAATAAAAATTGAAGTGATGCTCTTATTTGTGGATCCTCTTGCCAAGCTATAAAATAAAAAAAAAATTTTAAATTAAAAAATTTTTTTTTAAAGTAACAATAAAATTAAAAATATCCAAAAAATACAAAAATTTACCAGCCACTATTATTTTCTTATATTCTTGCTGTAGCTCTTCAATCTCAGGTTTATCTCTACCAAATCTAAGTTTTTCCCTTTTTCCAGATAAAACCCAATCTTTGATTTTTTCCATATTCCAATTTTCATAAGGGATTTTCTCAAATGCAAGTTCCCACAATAACATCCCAAAGCTATTATTAATATTATTATTATTATTATATTATCAATCATAGAGGATATAATTTAGTAATTTTTATTGACATACCTGAAGATTTCACATTTAGTATTATACGGCTGTTCTTTAGCGAATTTTAATTTTTCAGGGGCTAACCAATGAACAACATCTGTTAATTCGGACATGCTTGTCGTGGCCGAATTTGTTAAACGAGCGTACTCAAACCCTGTAATTTTTGGTTCCAACCGTAATGTCATCATTATGTTTGCACATCGAATGTCATGATGAAGAATTGCACACGTGTGCAAAAATGTTATTCCACGACAAATATCTAGTGCAATCTGAACCTATTTTTTTTTTTTATACAATAAATTTTATTATTAATATTTCTTTTCTTATTAGTGTAAGCATTGAAATAATCATTATTACAACGCAAAATAAATGTATTCACCTTTGCCGGCCAAGCGATATCACACCTATTATATACTTCCCTTAAACTTCCCAATTCCGCCCATTCTACTACCATCACCATTTGATTTTCAAGATGAGAGATCCCGAAAAATTTCAATATATTAGGGGAATCTTTTAATTTCCCAAGTATGGCTAATTGAGCTTGTATTTTTTTTGCTTGATGAGTTTCATCTTCGGGAATTGACCTTGGTATGCAAGCAACGTCCATAGTTTTGTAATATTTCTTATAAATAAAAGGTTCTTTTTTACCACGACGATTATTATTATTTACGATTAAAGGGTCTTTAATTTCGCTTGTATCAATAGTTGTTGCTTTCAACGTTTCGTATATTGGCAAATCAGGTCGTTTTTGTTCAGTGAATTGATCTATTTTATCTTTCATAATTTTTACTTCTTGAAGAACTGTGTTCATTGTATCATTATTTTCAATGATACCCCCATGGATTTGAGATAAGAACTATAAATCGTAACGTGTGTTAATTTCAAAATTTTTTTTTGAAAAAGAAAAGGATTTAAAGAAGAAATCGAAAATCTTTTTTAAATACATGCATGTTTCATTTGTTCAATATCATCATTAAGACTTTCTTGGTCAAGCCTTCTTTGCTCTTCATTTGCAACAGCCAAAGAAAAATGTAAATCAGTCATCACAGCCTCAAATTCTTTAACTAGATTATGAAACCTATCCTTAATAGAGGAAGCTTTAGCATATTTCTTGAAACCTTGAATTTGTGATACATCTAAAATGAATGATTTAATTTTCTTCATAACATCAACAAAGCGTAAAAATGCTTTATAGTAATCTTGTTTACGGAAATTAGTTTCATTTTCTTGTTTACGCCTTTTCAAGGTTTTGATAGCGAGATCAGCTGTTTCGACTCTATCCATCAGTGAATTGCAAATTTTTTTGTTATACTGTGCATCTTCATATATTTGTACACATTCGTTTATAACTACTGTTACAATCGCTATTAATGGTACAAATGGTTTTATTGCTTCTCCGGCTGCTCCAACTACTCCCAATACTTGCTTTGCTGTACCCGTAGTTGATGGCCCTATTGAATTTAAATTCTCAGCAAATGCAACCCCCCCCTGATATGAATTCCGAAGCACCATCTATCGAATCTTTTGTTTTCATTTTTTATGTTTTTATGAGAGAGAAAGTAGTGATAAATGTTACATTGAAATTTATTATGCATTTTATGCATTATTTCGGATTTACAACTCCGGCAAATAATAATAAGGTAAAGGTACGCGTGACACAGCATGTAGTCACGTGAAATTATAGATCATTTATTGTTTTTCAAAAAAATGAATTTGTAGCTAAACTACTTTGGATTAGAGGCTGATTCTTGGCTTATCAAATATTGTAATTGAAATTCTAGAAAATACAGTATATGGGTTGATTGCTAGGAAAATCAGGTTCCGGATTTTTTTTTTTTTTGTTTTTTAAATGTAATTTAAAATAATCTTGCACTTCTTTCTCTAGAGTAATTGATTTCCAAATTTTTTTTTCCTCTAACGACAAAACATGTCAAAACGTGGGATGATATAATCTCTGATTATATTAAGAATCTTTTTAAACCCGGAGTGATAGAAAAAGAATTAAAAAATCGTAATAACAATTTAAAAAGATTATCACAAACTTTAATGTTTTACAAAGATGATATTGAGAATATAAAACGTAACATTTACATTTATTATTTAGTTGATCAGTGTAATTACTTTTATAAGAACCTTATCGTTAATACAAACGCGGTCCATTTAATTCCTTTCAGCATTACATTTGCCATACTTCACCTCTCTATTTTAAGAGAGGCAAAAATTTTGGATCGAGAATAAAGTTTGGGATAAACATGGGTCATAGATTTACATGAAAAAGTTTATGCATATAAAAAACATTTTGTTGAAATTTATCCTCAATGGCAAGATTGGCGTAAAAAACAATTCATCATCAAAGGCAGAGTTAGATGGACATAAGAAGGCATTTGGATAAGTTACTGATACACTTACGAAAGGTCGATTAGTTATGAGCTCAGCTAAAATTTGGCTAAAATTCAACCTATCTTATTTATAGCTGATTGGCATGTTTATAGTCGATTGGTATACATCAAAAATTGGCTAAAATTTGACCTTCTTATTTATAGCTAATTAACGTCTGATTGAAATGATTGTATTATTTTAAGGTATGATAGTTTTATTATTCTTAAATAATGGTATGATGGTATTATCATTCCTAAGGAATGATAATATTATTATACAATACTTTTTTCATTCCTTAGGTATAATAGTATTATCATTCCTTAGATACAATAGTTTTATCATTCTTTAGGTATGATGTTATTATCATTTCTTAGGAATGATGGTTTTATTATTCCAATAAACTAAACTTTCAGATTAAATTGATTTGCTAAAATAATATCAAATATTTGAAGAACTTGCTAAATTAAAAGGATGATTTATTGATATCAATTTAATATACTATTTGAGTTTATTTCTAGTATAAATAGGAATATTTATATAAATATGCTTAATTTTTTTACTTTTTAAAAAATAATTTCAATCATTTCCAAATTTTCTCTTTTTACATATCACTAAAATGCTGAAAAAAAATTGTTTTAAGAACAAAAAGAATTTAAGTTAAATTTTATCAATAAAACAGTTAACTTTTCAAATAATAAACTGATTTTTTTTTACTTTCTATAATAGAAATATACCTCTAACTATCAAATCAGATGAAGAAAAAGCTAAAATTTAAATTGAATTTAGTTAATTTTCAATTTTATAAAATGATTTTTTTTATTTTTTATAATAGTAAGGTTGCTTTTCGTATTTAGTTTTTAGTGGATTACAAATTATATTACAAATTATGTATTTTTATATTTATTTCATATTCATATTTAAAATGTATTTCATATTTATGATATTATTTTATAATACATATAAATTGCATTATTTGTAATTTATTAATATTGCATATATATGATGTAATTGAAAAATCAATTCAGAAAATTAATAAAATCAGCAGAAAATTATCTGATAAAATATTTTTATATAAAATTTTTTTTTGATTTTTTCATTATTTTTTTGAGGTTTTAAATTGTAGATTTTATGTAAGAAAATATAAAACAAGTCAAAACTTATTTTCACTTTAAAATATTAATTGTAGTTGAAAGTTGCATCATTTCTAATAGTTTTATTTTACAACTTCTTTTATTATTATAAACTTCACTATGAATATTCAACACCTAACACTATCTAATCCTTTAATAGAACCTACTTCTGTAACCAAAAAATGTGGTTCTAAATTCTTTCCAGTTTGGTCTCATTTCACTTCTTATACAAAAAAAGCAGATAGTTATTATAGTGATACGTGTAACTTCTGTAAATTTAAAATTTCAACTGCAACTGAAAAAATTAGTTAGTAATGAACTTTTCCAAGTTATTCTTAAATAATAAAATATATTTCAACAATTTGATAATTTAACTCTTAGTAATATATATTATTTTATATTTTATATTTTATTTATTTATTTAAAAATCTATTTTAATTTAGAATTTTATTATTTTAATGCTGATTAAAAAGAATATTTATATTAACTTAAAGATTATTCATCAACATCTCATACAGGTGAATTTTTGGCTAATAAAATAGAAAAAATTATTACAGAAATTAAAACTAAAAAATTTTATGCCATAGTTACTGATGGAGGATCAAATTGTCATGTTGCAAGAGAGATAATTTTAGAAAATTTTTATATATTGCAAATTTTTCTTATATTGCACATAGATTAAATCTTATTACTAAAGATTTTATTAGTTTAGCATTTACTAAAAAAACAATTAATCAAATGAGTATGATTATAAGATTTTTTAATAAAGCTTATCAACCAAATGCAAAATTATAAGAATTAATTAAAGCAAATAATGTATAAGGCAGTGGATTGAAAAAATACATAAGTATTAGATGGCATATATATTATGATCATCTTGAATTGATTTGGAGATTATGTATTTGTTTAATTACAGTAAGTTATTCTAAATTATTATTTTTTTATTATTATTATTTAATATGTAAATTATTTTATTACTAAAATTAAAAACTTAATAGATTTCAGATAATTATCCTGATTTGCTTACTAATTATAATGTAAAATAACTTTTATATTATAATAAATTTTATCAACATTATAAAATAATAACTGATATTTTAAAACTAATTCGTAATGCTATACTTGAAGTTGAAGGACGTAATTCAAATTTGGCAAATTGTTTTATGACAATAATTAAAATTGCTATTGCAACTAATAATCTTTTTACTAATTATAATATTAGTTTTCATAATCAATTATTTAAATTATTTAATAAGAGATTTGAATGATTTGATGATAATTTATATTTACTTACTTATTTCTTATATCTTAAATATAGAGGTAAATTTTTAATATACTTTAATTATATTATATTAATTGTATTATTAATTAACTTAATAAATTTTAGGACAAGGTTTAAAACTAATACTTTTTCATCAGTTAAATTTAATTATTACACAAATGTTAAAGAATATGGAATACAATAAAGCTGATTGTCAAAATTTAGTTGCTTAAATGCATAAGTTTGATCTAAAGCAAATACTATTTAAATCATTTTATGCTGAAAATTATGATATCCCTTTAATTTAATGGATGACATGCAAATCTTTTCCTAATTTTCTTGAAACAGTAACTATTCATATCTTTGATATTATACCATATAGTACTTCATGTAAAAGACTTTTCTCTACTTTAAGTTAGTTTATAAATTCTTATCATACTAATTTATCGATATTTCAGCTTGAAGCTATGACTAAAATTCAAAAATTCTGTATTTCAGATTAAAAAATGAATTACATTATACTAGTAAAAATATGTCTATTGAAAAAATGGTCAACTTATTAATGAATTCAATTAATAATAAGTTAGATAAAGAAGAGGACAAAGAGAATATTAATATAAATCTTAGATAAGATTTAGAATCAATAATAGATATTAAGTTAAATATTACTGTAACTTTAGATTTAAATACTATAATTATTAATGATAATATAAACCTTAATGAAGATAATTAAGAAAAATTAAATTTAGAAAATGAAGAAGATTTTGATTTGAAAGATCTAGTAGATGAAGGTTTAAAAGATTTTGAGTAAAGAATATTATTATATAAGTATAGTAATATTTTTTATAATAAATTGTTAAATAATTTTATAAAATAAATTTACTTTTTTTTTTCTAGAAAATAATTATAATTTTTAATATTTATTATATAAATAATTGATCAATCAAAATTAAGAATTAATTATGCATTATAAAATAATTATGAATTACGAATTAATTATGCATTATAAAATAATTATGAATTACGAATTTATTATGCATTATGTTTATGAAATATTTATCTATAAATGCATAATATATAATTACAAATAATATTATAAATTTTTTTATAATTCAATAATTACAATAAGCATTCTTATATAATAGAAATATGCTTTAAACTATCAAAATTAAATGAAACTTAAGTTAAATTTTATCAATCAATCAGTCAACTTTTCAAAATAATAAATTGATTTTTTTATTTTCTACAATAGAACATGCCTCTAATTATCAAAATTAAACAAAACTTAAATTAAATTTTATTAATTAACCAGTCAACTTTTTAAATAATAAACTGATTTTTTTACTTTTATAATAGAAAAAAGATAAGTAATTTAATAAAAAAAGATAGATTTT